CGCTAAACTGCCTCCCTCATGTAGCTGTTCCCCCCACCCCACCCCCAACTCCAGCCGTTCATGCTTGTAGCAGCGTTCCCACATCCTAACCGACATCTGATCTTATCAGTGGTTTTAGTTTTGTCAATGTGATGGTGAGAGAGGGCTCCATCCCTGTTATTTTCATTTGCATTTTCTGCCAGCTAGAGGGGTGAGTATCCGCTTCTGGGCTCTCAGCCACTGGATCATTTCTTGTCGGGAAGAATGGAAGTGGGGCGGGGGGGTTGTGAGGTGTGGGGGGGCCTGCTTGCCCAGCACTGTACGCCCTTTGATCATCAAGTTTTCCACTTCCATTTTTTCCAATCAAGCTTTTAAATCAATCAACCAATCACACTCCAGGACTTGGGTCTCTGACTTTTAAATCTTCCTGGAGGGACACCTCCCCACCCCAGCCCCCGCATGGCTTAGTGAGATACTGGGTGGGCTGGTAACCACAAAGCCAGTAGTTTCAAACCTTCAACCTTCCTCGGGAGAAAGCTGAGGCTTTTGACTCCCATAAAGAGTCAAAGTCTTGGAAACCCATGGGGACAGTTTTCCTCGGTCCTATAGGGCCACTCTGAGGCGGCATTAACTCCATGACAGTGAGTCTGATCATAGCAGAGCTCTGATATTCCTGTCGGATGAGCATTGCACTGCTAACTGCAAGGCCAGCGGTTCAAACACAGAAGCTGTTCTGAGGTTAAAAGATGAGGCTACCTACTCCCATGAAGATTTACAGCCTCATAAACTCCATGTGGGGTTCCCATGGTCGGGGTGGGTCTGAGCATCCCAGGCCCCTATATTTGGTGGCTGACACCTGAGATCAGGAACCTCGTAAGGAAGAAATTCAATCACAAACCACCGTCTGGACCATGGCTCTTGCAATGTGCTCCAGATCACACTCGCAAATCTCAATCGGAAAACATTCTGCCCTGTGGCTGTCTCCCATGTGCCGGACTTTTCACCCACAAATTGGGGGCTGGGGGAGGGTAGAGGGTAGGTCCAGAGCCTTCCACAACCAAATGATGAAGTCAGAAGTCAAAGAATTCCCCCATCATCTTCGCGCCCAGTACTAAAGTTACACCAAGCCTTCTTCCAGCACATGTGCTGGCACACACACACACATTTACACCATCTCACACACTCTGTCACACAGATATTGACCCACATACACACTCTCACATGCACATAGATTTACACACTTACACGCACACACTCCAGTTGCTGCTGAGTCAGCGTTGACTCAGGGCTTCGATCTTTCAGAAGCCCATTCTTCAAGTGCACTTCTGGATGGGGTCAAACTGCTGCACTTTAAGTTCGCCGCTGCCTAGGGTGCTTAAGGATAGCCCCCCACCCTCCTTACGGGCTTCTCTCCAGCCTCCATGCCCCCCAGCCCAGCTCCATTCTCCAGTCACAGCCAGTCTTGGACTTAGAAAGCTGTTCTCTGAGGTAGCGCTCATTTGGGTGCAAGATCCTCCTGCAAGAACCTTTGCTCAGCTGAGCCTCCGAAGTGTCCCTGCTCCCCCTGGGGTTTCCCAGGAGGGGAGTGCTGATGGTGGGCTTTCCTGATGGTGGGCAGGGGGCAGGGGTGGGGAAGGGCAGGAGAGACTTCTTGGCTTTGTTTGGAAAGTGGAGCTGTTTCCAGGGCGGCTCAGATTCCAGCAGGTAGGATTCCACCTGATGCCTCAGGATGGGGGGATGGGGACAGCGGGAGACCCCTGTCTGAGGGCTGGAGAGAGGGGTTGGCTTGTCTTGAAGGCAGATTCCTTCCCTTCACCTCCTGAGAGAGCCTGAGAGCAAGGAGGACACTTTGTGGGTGGGGAGCCTCATTACTCAGCTTGAGAGGCCTCTGCATTGGGTGAAGGGCTGGTTTACTGCTTCTGCTCAAAGGCTCCCACTCATATCCGACCTAGACTTGTCTCTTGAGTTGATGGTGACTCATGCCTGGCACCCAGCACAGTCACCAGGAGCAGAGTAGGCTGGAGGGGCTCTGCGTCCAGGCCTGGGGAGCAGCAAGAGGCGCAGGGGTCCTTGAAACAGATGGGTTCTTGAGGAGTCCCTGGAGGTACAAGTGGCTCATGCCCGCAGGCTGCTAACTGGGTGAGCGCAGTCTACCGGGGGTCCCTTGGAAGAAAGGCCTGGCAACCAACTTCTGAAAAGTCAGCCATTGAACTGTGGGGC